AAAGATTTGTCCATGGATAAAGTGAAGTATATCAGAGGAAACAATACTTGGAATCTTACCACCAACATTTTTGGAAATCGTGGATCCTTTGTGTTTCGCTTAGATTTGGAGGCAGATTTAACGCTGTTTGTCTGATCGGTAGATGTGTGTGAACATACGAATAAAACCTCTCCATGTACTGGCGCATAAATATTTACTCAGCGCGGGCGCTCATTTGGTCCACGTTTGTGTAATGTCCTTCCTTGTGATTCAGTTGGTCTTTCACACCGCATTACCGTGCAGAATACCCCTCCTGCATTATGGTAGTCTACTGCCGAACGCCGCTTATGCAGTAATTCAGTAGGGCTTGATAACCGAAAAATCTGCCATTTTTAAGAAGTTTCACTTCTAAAAATGTCAGTAAAATATTCCGAAAAATCATTTATCATTTCATATGTCCTTAGCCTTTGTGCTATGATTAGTTTTATACCATTTTTCACTATCGTATCGGCAGCAGGGTCTGGTAATTTGCATGCGTTCTTCGGCATCCCAACCACAAACGATTCTTTATGATCGCCGTAAATGCACCCTCGGTTAAATTAATCATAAGCTCGAGGCAATTGACTTTTCGGATGAAATCACCCTTATACATAATTTACTTGAGCGCTTTGCCGTGGATGTTCCTCTTGTCATTGCCTCAAAGCATCCTCGAATTTGCATAATATGTAACCACAGTGTATGGAGTACCCCGTACACCCTTCAAAGTTCACGATTAATCAGTTTTCATTTCAAAAACGTGGTTGGTATGCCTTTACATACTATCAATATATTGAAGCGTCTAGTTCTGTAATATCAGCTTTGGAATTCTTTTGCAACCGTCTATTTTTTGCACAATAGGATCTCAGTTCTGAAGGCAGTGGTGCGTAAAATTAAACTGATTTGTGGAAAAAGCGCATTTTTTTCTATTCCTCATCCGTTACAACAATATCAAATGCACTTCTCGCAAAAAGTTGTCTGGCACTCTGTTGACGGCCACCAGTCATTATACCTTCTGCCGTGACTCAGATTGCAACATGTTAGTGTTGAAGTTGCCAACGGAAGTTTCTCCTTGAGAGTTGCATTTAATTCCTTTCTGAAATAGATCAATACATAATATTCTTATTTTGTAGGGCATGGTGTGTGTTTGTAAATTTTGGAGTTTACTTCTAGGAAAAATTTACTCAAGAATTAATTATAAATCTGCAAATTCACACTGAACTGGGTTATTTTTTTATGGTTCAGATGTCACAGAGTCACTTTTTCAAAGCTCGTTAAGGCATAGTCAATACCTATTCCTCTTTTCAGGGCACGAGGCAGCGGTGCTGACAGTGGCAACATTCGCAAAGCTCTGTATCTCCATGTCCTTCGCCTCAGCCTATGTCTACACCTCGGAGGCCTACCCAACGTCTATCAGCAACAGCGCTGTCGGCTTCTGCGTCACTGCGGGTCGCCTGGGGGGCACTATCGCCCCCGTTTTCCTCCTTCTAGTATGTCTCTCTCCCTTTCCTAGTTTTTCCCACTTTTTTCCTTCCTTCATAGAGCGATTCTGGCTTTGGCTGACCTCCCTATGAATGTCGCTTGATAGGCTGACTTTGTCCTTCAGGTGTGCCAGGCTTGGTAAACTGACGTATTTCTGCAAGCGCAACTTAAGGTACCACATCATCTTACTGCATGGAACGGCTTAGCGGCTAGTGTGTTAGCTATAGTGGGCCTAGGATGTTGCAATTCAATTAGGTAGTGCAGCTTTTAATTACACGATTTGAAAATAACTAAATATTTACTTATGGTGTCGCGAGTAAAACGTGTTCAGAGTGTCAGTGTTTAGCAAGTCGAGATTGTAGCGGAGTGTAAATGTGCTTATAAGCTTGTTCTCAAATACCACTTCAGATTGATTAAAACCTTTGTGAGCTCTAGCAGTAGGCGGACAGAAATATTGTTTTCCATCAAATAACCCCTAGCGTTTACCGTCACGGTAGATTATGCAATCCTCAGGTTTCCACACCATACCGCATGGAAGCGTTAGCATAATTTTGGGTCCCTGTTATCAGTATTGGTTGTTTCCCATACAAAATTATTTAACGGCAACAGGATAAATAACCGACTCCTCATTAGTTAATTAAACAATAATCTCGGGGAGGTCAGTAGTATTGCTGTCTCTCGCCCAGACAATTTCGTGCCGAAGTACTAAAATTTTACTTATGCGTAATTTCACCTATAGGGCTTTGTATGAACGCGAGTGTTAATTTATTGCGTCGTGATTTGATACATCTCAGCTCTGAGGCGGCATGAACAAGCGTTTATTCCATGTATGGTAGTGAGAGGGTTATTACCAACCGTCATCCCTCCCAACGGGTAAATGTTTGATAAAAGTCCTTTTTTTACAACCTGGAACTCCAGCGATAACAAGCAATTGCAGAGGTAGCATTCTGGAGGTAAACACGCAATTTCGCTGTTTTGTCCAGTTTTTGTGTGCTTACAATAGAAATACTCCGACTGACTACAACGCTCAATGGAATCACGTTCATTTTATCGAAATGTTACAAGTATGTTATGTCTGAAAGTGTAGGTTAAATGTGATTTTTGCGTCTACTTCCACTTTTGCAAATGTTATAAATATTCAATGCGCTTGCCCTGCTGGATACAAAAGAATCTTCACCCCTGCATGCCAAAAGGGCCTTGACTTCAACCAAAATGTGATTTTGGCCATCGGACTGTTGAATTATAAGATTGCAAGATTCGATTCTGAAAGCACTAGCAATACAAATAGAAACTTCATTCCCTCTTTTCTACCAATGCTTCTCAAATCCATAGGTTCAGTAGTGGAAAGAGTCTTGAAGCTCAGGTCAACCTTTAAACCGGTAACTTCAGTTCTAACGTCATCCATTGCGTAGGAATTGGTATTGCAGCCGTATTTTGTTTCCGATGCTTCTTTTGTGCTTCAGGTAAACTGCGTATGCGTTTCATTGTCCACTTCGAAATTGACTTGTCAAAAAACTGGATGGAAATTGTTTATCCTCTTAATTGTGATGGCTAACTCTAAGCACTGCTTTGACTTCTTTAGTGGCGCTGCACAGCTGGCACGTCGGCCATAGTCTTCATAATATCTACCCGTTGTTATTTGTGTTCTTTTCACACCGCAATGTCGCACAAACATGCAGTTTGTTGGTTTTGATGGATCTTTCGCAATTCAATTTTGACAATAGAGTCACTCAATTCTTTCACCCATTTAGGTTCGAGTTTGAAGCGGTATTTAATCTCCATTACACCTTTAAAAGCTTTTTCAAAAGGTGGGTAAGTCCATTTCTAGTCCTCAGAACATTCACTTCACAGATAATTTTTTATTGATGTAAGGTTGTCAGGTCGCAGTGCTTATAACCTTACATCGCAATGCAACCGTAAAACATTCCCTAGTACGGGTTCTCCATCTTTCGTAACTTTTTCACTAGAGCCAATGCTGCATTCAAAAATAGCACATTAAATAGGAAAATCGCATAAATCAATGAAGTAAAGTGCACTTCCGCATACCTTAGTGGTAGAAACCTAGCCTTCCAGCATTCTCTCTCGTTTGGTTCCCACTCTCCGTGCTTTTTTCAACCTTTCCGGAAGTTACGACGATTACGATTATAATTACTTACAATCATGAACACATGGAACCCATTTACAGTAAGAACCGATTGTGATCAGATCAGATCCAGCTTCCCCTTTCAACCTACAGCAATATCCCGAATACTCGCTAGGTTAGGTTCCAGAATCGCTGCAAACCAGGGGGAACCGTGAATGTTTGATATAAGTACCTAAAAATGCTAATAAATACTTATCTCTGGAATGCTTGTTTGTCACACTAGCAGATTTACAGTCACCTCTGCAGTATCCCAATGCATTGGGTGCCGTTTTTCTTTTGCACTCACAGTGGGACAAAACCATGCAACTAATGGGACCATGAATTGTGCAAAACCGTGGCTGCAAATTAGGTTGTTTTTAATGAAAATTTTGCGAATGCCTGGGACATTACTGCTTCGTCAATTCGCAGTTTCTCTGTGCGTACCACCAGTCTCCCGAATCCGGTTATGTGCTGTTTCCGACCCCTGTTCACTGCAGGCCCCATTTGCATGTTGATCTTTTCTAGTTGTTTTCAGCACTGGATAGCGTCCTTCCCCTTTACGGTTGTGTTTCCTATGTATAATAGGTTTTTTTTGAGATACCTCATTTACTTAATGTCATTGGCAATCGACTTCTTACTACAGGGCATATTAAATGGAATTTTGGGTATTTCTTAGACCTCTGATGGTACATTGTGGTACCTCTGGGGATTTCCACCAATAATAGTCATCGTTTGTCTACATTATTACTAAAAAGACGTTGGTGTTACATATGTTTATATCGTTTTGTATATTTGGTTGTAGCTCCCCAATTAGTTCATGTTTTATTCCGCGCACTTGGCTTGCAGCACACGCCGGCAAACTCGGGAAACTGGGTTCCCTCGGTGCAAACCTAAGTAAGACTCGGCGGTTTTAAGTTTCTCGTTATAACTTCTTTCGTCACCTCTTACGAAGCACTATAAGTTATGAATTCGCGTGTGTATCGAAGAAAAACCGGAGTCTAAATTTTATAGGTTCCACATTATCTGTTCTTTAACGCTGTGCTCGATCAAGGCTTGTTGCAATGCTTACTATTAGAATTTTTAAGCTGTAAAATCGAAAGTGAATGGAAGTCGCTTATGAATCGCACAATGGGCTTGTACCATTGTCTGTTTTGTACCGTTACCATTTCTTTGGTCAGGTGTTATTATTGTGCGTCAGTCCCGATTGAAGGAATTTACATAACTCCGTTTTCGTGCCTTCTGTCTTAAAGGAGGACTGAATAACGGCAAATCAAAGCCGAGGAGTCACAGTAATCCTACGCTGTATGAAATCCAACCCGTCTTGGTGCTGGTGCACTCAAAGTAGGGCATTTCGCGTCTAAACGAAATTGTGGATTTTTATGCTTCATCTTTTTCAATTATTGCTCTAAGCGTGACTCACTTCATGCTGATGCAGGATTACTTTGTAAATTAGTTTGGTGTTGCATGGAACTGATTGTAATGGATGCTCACGGCGTTTTATCGTCAATCACACTGTTTGACTCCTTAATTTCATTTTCTTCCATAGCAAAAGACACCACAACTTTAGCATAAATGCCTATTTAATAAGGAGATTTGTCGTGCGCATAGGAATTTCGCCTCGGCATGACGATGGCGATGTTGACCGCGTTCCTCGACGCTCCACTTCGTAGAGTACCAAAACGTACGCTCACGAAAGCTGCCTTAAAGTTGGAGCCGAATTTTGTCCACACCAATCCTCCAGGACCGTCAGAAAACCACACGGGAGCAGATTCAGCTGATTCATCCACTATGGAAACGCCTCCTATAAGCCCCAATGATTTATTGCCAGTAAAGTTCACACAAGTGGCCATCTCCGACTGGCTCCCGACAAACCTTTGCAGGACACCGCTTTCCTGGTCAAAAATTGCTGGCCACCTCTGTATGCTTTGCCTCGTTTCAGCTTTTTAGCAAATCTCAGAAGTTGACCTCAACTTTATTATGATTTCATGACTTCTATGTGTAAAAGAAGGAAAATGTGTTTTTCCCTTTACAGTAAATGAGCTTCGATTTCCGTTGTGCAGCCATGTTAGATTTTTTCCTCGCTCAATTTCCCACATATCAGCAAGTAGGAGCGAGGAGCTAGCACTCGGCGCTAGCAACGGTAACGAAGCCGTGTTACTAACTACTTGTGACTACTTATTTCTCGCATAAATTATCCTTTTGTCTTACTCAGCGGTCTTCCAACCTTTTTAGGGTGCTATTGTGACTCGAATCTTGTAACTGGTTTAATTTATAGACAATTTATGTCTTTTGCTACTTGTATTGGAATGAGGCCATCTAGTGTCCAAAAAAAGCTTGTCCAATTTTCGGTTTAACTTCCTGAAATGGCTTGCCTGCTCGCTAAGTATATGCAACCGTGTTTATGCACGTATTGTAAATCCGAGATTGGCGCCAGTCTACTGGAACTTTCGTCGTTGTGCTCTGTGCTCTATTTTCTCCCCACTTTGAATCCTCATATTATGGAATACTGATTGAACCTAGTGTGATTTTAGATTTGGGAGAACTTGAACTTATGAAATTTGTTGCACAGCATTTGAAGAAGGTGCATCAGCGGAGCGTACCATCCTGATGTGGTCTAAATAATTTGATTTCACTGGTGAATCACCAGGCGATGATGCATCAAATTTGGGAAGCTCCTTTGTTTCGTATTTTAACAAGGGTTTACGCGTTGCTATTTGTCGAAATAAATGGTGATATAGATGTCACGACCTTTCAGTAATGTTAAATGCGGGGGATGCAATGGCTCGTTTACACCCCCATCAGCTGGGAAGGGCGTGGTGGCTATTGGGCCATCGGACCTCACATGCGTCAACAACAAATGACGGTAAGCTTCAAGGGCTCCCAATTTGTCCTCCGTGCCTTTTGGATTATTTGCTAATTGACCTGCAACGAGGAGTACGTTTTTTATGGCACTGTTATGCAAACGGACACATCACCGATTATCCCCAAGTGATTCACCCACTACCCAGCCTACATTTCTAAGGCAGAACTTCATCCCCAAAAGGCTGTGCTTGCTTGCAGTGGACTGTAGACAGAATTTTTACCTGAAGACCAAATGATTACACCTGATATCCATTTACCTGATACAACTCGAACGTGTGCAAGTAAGACGTGTTTAAAAACAACCAAAACTAGTCACCTAGTAGGAAGAAGGTCTTAATTTTAGCTGGATCGTGTAAGACATCCCACCGTCGCGAAACTGAGCCATGGGAAACTTTACACTTTCGAATGCCTTACCCTTGTCCTCATCATGCGCATGCCCTGGATATTACTCCCCCACGTGTTGATGGGCACCTTTTCTTGGCACTGGACACTCACACGTGAAATAGGCAGTCGGAAAACAAAGTTGTCATCGAATTGAAAGGGGCTAGTGCCAGGTTTTTGCTTTTGGGGACAAAACACTATAGAATTGGAGTCCGTTAGAAGCTATTGTTTCGTTAAGAAGGTGTTATAGATTTTAATGCTGATTGTTTCAACAGAGAGTGTTAAGGAGCTTCCTGTGGTTACCTAATTTTATTGTTAGAAAACGTACGTATTTATATGATTACGCCATTGTGAAGCACAAAACTCCAGAAAATTCTTGCTGATCAGTGTTTTAATTGAATAATCCATCTTTGTAACTGGTGGCTAATGTGAAGCAAAATACCTAAACTCTTTGCCACGACCCTGTTTGTAATGTTATGGGGCATCGTTTGCCCGTCTCTAAATAGATGATGAGCCGGTCAGCAATCCACCCAAGTATTAAATCTTCTAACTTCAAAATTAGTGCTCCTTGCATCATGTCTCCTGTCCAAGCCTTGTTGCAGACAAATTTCTCGTGTAAGGAATATCCCCTTATGGCAAACATTGTAACAGATCAATTTGTACACTACTCGCTGCATGTTTCCGTTGGCGACAAAGAGCAGCCGTCTATCACTGTTTCCACAGGCTATTCCTTTATTTTACTCAAGCTTCAATGTTTTCCCAAACCATTGTTTTGTGTGTATTTGCAAAGTGTTGCGCAGGCTTTTTCGAATTTGTAATAGAACCCATTTCATACTTTAAAGCAAGTATCAAAATCATAAAACCGGTTTTTTGTTTCAAGCGAAATTTGCTCCTTTTTTAAAGCATTCAAACGCGCCCTCCATGGAACATGCCTCCTCTGTTTCCGATAAAGTCTAGAACTTAGGTCTTATTACTACTACTATTTTGCGCTTATTAACCCCACCTTCATACCAAATGTTATCTCGTATGTACATATATTACCTGGCGTATTACAGGGGACGAGTCGCTCGTGCCTTATATTTGGTGTTATAACGCTGACAAGCGGAGTGGCGGCGCTCCACCTGCCGGAGACTCTCGGCCGCCAGATGCTCGCCTCCTCATTCCAAATCGCTCAGAGGACTTAAGCCATTCCTTCCCCCTGCGCCACCATCATTACCCTTGTCTTCCGCACCACCCCCTCCCCCCCTCACTTCGACGACTACCCTTTGTTACAGAAGTTGGCTAATAAAGCAATAAGCGCTGTGAATTGACAGAATGGCACGCGTTTGCTCGGAGTAGTGAGGTGATTCACCTCCCGTAGGGTTGGGATGACTGATCATTGCGCAAATAAATGTGCGGGCATTAGGTGGGTGAGGTTGAATGTCATCATCCTGTCCTGAGTTTGATGCCAAGCCCGTGTATTCGAGCCTCTAGGATGTGTAGACTGGATATCGGCAGTAGGGTGAGTGCACGATTCGCTGGAGTTCAGGAGTCGCTTGAGCGTCGTGCGTCATTCGAGGCCTTTCAACGCATGGTGCATACCCTGATAGGATTTTCCTGGGTTTTATTCTCCATCCGTATCCTACAGCGAGGCTGACTTAAGTGTACATTTACAAGTGTTTATAGTTTTCCTGGACGCAGCTGTGGGTCAAGTTTAAAACCGTGAGTTCTGTTTTAAAGTTCATGGTTTATATTCTTACAATTTTGGAACCGATGCTCAGCGAAACGTGTGGTCCTGGTGGAACTGGCCAAACTTTGACGAGCTGGAAGGCTTTCGTCATCCACCGCGGCTGAGGGGTCGGCCGACCCCACCTCGATGGTCACTTCTACTTTCGTTCCCCTGGTTGGAGGAGCTTTAAAAATTGCTTCCTGTTTCGATGATTCGTATTCTACCAACTGAACAGACTAGGCGATTCGCGACTCTCACCCATGGGAAACTCCGTCAGGCGGCGTAACTTGCTTATTCCTAATGCACAGAAACAGTTACCGTTGCGGCAAAAACTCCTTTTGTGAGGATCGTCCGAGTTGGGAAGCACATAAATTATGGGAACTTTAGACCGGTGGTCCTTCAAATTGGGAACTGGAATACTTCCCTGGCTAATTTTTCAGAATCTCCTAATTAGCATCGTTGTGGAGTTTTTACGGTTACTACCATTACCCAACGAATGCTTTCCTTAATCTGAAGTCGAGGTACGTCGAACATTGCTTGATTATTCTCACTCTTCAAAGCAAACCCGACGAGGATATGAAAAGGGGAGCCTATAGGGTTGGGTACTCGTGATAATAGGAGAACGGGAGTTGCGCATGACTATCGCTACCCAAAGCCGGTATGTATGACCAAGGTGGGAGTGGAATGGAGGCCAAATACACCTGTCTGGCAAGCAAGACCGATTTTCATTATAGCAAAGCCAAGAAGTGATGATTGCAAAGCATAAACACAAAAAATGCAGACATTGTGGACAACGATTCCGACCACCGAGGGCGTCTGGAGGGCCATTCCGCGCAAGTCAACAAACGGCTCCGGTCAGAATATTATAGGTTCCGCCACTTCCGCCTACAAAAGTGAAAGTGATACTTATTTAACTAGGTGCTCTATCACCTAATTCAATGCAATCATCAATCAAAATATGTCTGGTTCTAAAAGGCCTGGTTTTAAAGTGAGCTGAACGCCTTCTCGTTAAACCTTCACCTTTATTTTTTTTCCCTTTTGAAATGGACGGTTGACGCGCCAGCAAAAGAATCAACATTCATGTGCTTTATTTCAAATGAAAAACTAACGCTCAGTTCCCAGCCGACTGTTAAATTTCTGGTAAAATAGTTGCCGTTTTTGAAAAAATCCTATTTTGTAGAAATGAGTGCCATTCCCGAAAACCCGTAACCGGCGTCGCATTGAGCCAGACGATGCGCAGTGCTTACGTGAATCTTGGCATCGTCAGACTCTCCTAATTTTTTATTCCGATCATCTGGCGATTCACTAAGAATTCTATTGTCAAATGAATTTAGGGACCTTTGACCCATCATTCAAAAATATTTGTCCTCATGATTTCGCCTTGTGGTAAAATATGCATACTGTCCATTTGACGGTGTCAATTTACATAGTTTGGGTCAAGATAAAGACCGTTTTACGAATGTTTAGGGGAAAATTCGGTGTTTTAGGATTAAAACAAATAATGCGGTCCATATACACACATGCGCACCTCTGGAGGTGGGTGGAGCGGAACTTTTACGCTCACTTCGCATCTCCTGACAGATCTGATAGGTGTTGCAATTCTCGCCGGTCAGAATGTTCCTCGAGTTGTTCGTGTTGGCCGGTTTTCGACGACGTTCCTCTACAGAAATTGAGTAGGTGGAGCCCCGCGAACCCTCGCCCGTGAGTGGAGAGCTGATGTCTGCAACAAATCCTATTGGCTGGTTTACCTTCAGACATCCCATCATTTCACCGAATGTTTTAGAGTAATAATTAGAAGCATCCTGTTTACATAGGTATTTACACTATTTGGGACAGTACCTAGGCTGGGAGTTCATGCTTGTAGGGTGTAGTGTTAGTGGTCCCACACAAACCAAAATCAGTGAAGAATAAAGATGTTTGATGAGAGCGTAATTCGTGATTTAAAATTTGGAAATGCAATACTTGTTGTACCCCAATTTTGGTTTCCAACGCAACAGAGTAGGAATAATTAAAAACCTAGGAAGTGATGTAACAGCGAATTCCATTTGATGGGAAATTTCATGAGTATGAATATATTAGATGAAATAGCTTGCCTCGAGTCTTTGTAGTCTTTTCCTTTTCACCGACCCGATACTTATAATGCTGTGTGTTTTCACCGAGTAGAGGATTGGAGGGCGCTGAAAATGAGCAGTGAAATGCAACAACAGCTGAAGGTTTAAATAGCTTTTTGCTTCTTCTTGGAGGGTGTGCGTTTTCGCCTATTTTACAATTTATTCAGAAAGAAATTCATAAAAGTCGAAATTCGGCAGCATGGGTATGCATAGGAATTGTTCCAAAACCGATGCTAGGTTTAAAATTGAAGGTGGACGTTTCGTACCTGTATTCGGACGTGCCGTGACATTGCGCTCAATTGGTGTAATTTTGTAGCTCGGGCGATTTTCACCGGTCACCGTATTGGAATAAACTGACGTAAAGGGAAGAAAAACATCTTTTTACTATTAATAATTGCTTCAAACTTTAATTCTATGCAAATCGGCAAGTAAAAACTAGAGCTTTTGTATTCAATTGAAGTTACTACTAGAATCCAACATTTGTGTAGTTACCTGATTTTATGTTTGTGCAAAATTATACTCTAAAATGCTGCGTCAAGTGGTTGAACTAAGTGGTAAATTTAAGCAATTTTAAATCTCATACTGCATAATTCTAGTGATTCGCAATTTCATCGGCAATTTTTTTACTTCGTTGAAAGTGATGACCACTTACTGAACAATGTAATGTGTTATGACTTTAAATCACGGTTTTGGTAAAGGGACCACTTAGGTGTCCTGCCATTACACCTTCATTGGGTGGGCTGGCCTCCAGGCCATACCAGTAGCCCAAGCAATACTGTATGTCCACAATACATCTTCTGCCCGAATACCATATCTTCCTTTGTCTTCAGGGAAGTCTAGAAGCGCTACATTGGTGACAGCGGAAAGCAAACCCGATCTTAAAGGACATCTATCCTATTTCTACTGCTGAGTGATTAACCTTAGTAAGGCGGAAGAAGTACATAATTTGCGGGTGGGAGAATCTGTGATGATCCGTAAGAGAAGGGCTGAAAATGGCGTTTGGCCATAGCAACTACCTTAGTCTTGTGGCTTACAGGAAAGCCATTAACAATTGTAGCGAGCAACACTAGCAGTGAACCATCTGGAAGAGTTTGGTACTGAGCTGCCTACCCTACACGTATAAAGGCGTCGAATACGTAAACACGTGATACCTCCTCCACTTCTCGACTAGCTGGATAGAACCCGTACAGACAGATACGGTTGGGCAGATCTGAAGCGAGAACAACGTAGCACGAAGGGTTAGGAACGAAACCATCCCTCCACCGAATTGTGTTTAAACCCATCTTTTGTTACATGACTCTAAATCGAGGCTGGTCTTCCCACGACTAGCGATAGCTGGCTCAAAGGGGGCAAGGGGCTATGTAACACGTTGATTGTTTGTTTAACTCTCGGTTTTAGTAACGGTCACCTAGGGGCTCCGCTATTGTATCTACGCCTTGCGGCATGACCTCCAGGCGATGCTTGTAGACTCCAGGTCCTTCTGTACGTTGACGATACATATTTTACCGGAGTACTGTGCCTTCTCTCGTCTACTAAGGAAGTCTTGGGAAGCTGCGTACACACTTTGTGCAACATTACTTGATTTGAATGCATTTGTGAGGAATTTGTAAACTTACACGTCTCACTAAATATTGAAAGTCAGCACTAAAAATTAAAATTGCTTTTACTCCTTTACGGCACTCAATTGAAACCTTGCCCGCGCTACGACTATACATTATTGAAATAGATGTAGGGTAGCTCAATTCACCACTACGAAATACTTACTCACCGTAAGGTTTTGTGGCTCTCTTCTTTTCCTCCTTTGATATGGTAAAGGCAGTCACATTTTCTCCCGTGAGAGGATTGATTCTCTTGCTCTCCGACCGGGCTCGAACACGCGCTCGTCCTGTCTTGCTGTTTTCAACATTCACGTCGTATGTGCTGCAGTTCTCCCCTGTTATGGTATTCTTTCCCACCTCTACGCGTATTTAAACAACAACCCTTTATCTTTAGCGTTTTTTGCGTGACAGGTTATGCATAATTTATTTCTTATGCTCAGTAGGTAAAGACTTTGTTAATGTGTTGATGTAAAAGGCGTCAACTTTCTTTGCCTTTTCAATTGCATTTCTCGCTAGCGTACGTTGGCCGCACACTACCACGAAATCCAAGTCTCGTTAGCACTGTCACAACCAGCCTTTGGAACCTAAGGCATATTTGAAAAAGGAATCACTTTGCTTATAACAGGACCAGAAGGCTTTAAATGCTTTTTTAATGATAGCATGGTGTCAGCTTTACACAAGCCATGAGTTTTCCAGTCTGATCAATATGATTAATGCTTACTAAAACAAATCTTGTAAGTCAGTACCTGAATGTCGTCGAGGTCCGCAAGGCTTCATTTCTTGAGATATGTCAAAGTTTGTGCAGTTTTCACCGGTGATGACGTTGCGGGCTAAAATTTCAAGTTTGTAATTAAAATTTACTCCCACAGATCCTCCTATCTATTAAGGGTAATCTTGTCAACTGTGTGCATATTGCTATTTGTCTATTACCCATCCATCAAGTGTAGCACCTCATGGAGTTTGACTATGTATATTTTGACGGCAACTTACTGGATCGCGGCGTCTTTGGGGTTAAACAGCCACTTTGCCTCTCCTCTACGGTGATTGCGAATGTTTTCGCGTTTTCTCCCGTCAGAGGATTGCAACGAACAGCTAGATTTTACCAAACGCGGCACAGATTTTAATAAATTTCAATAAAAGCTGACAAGCGGAACTGGAAACAGGGATTGCTTTATGGTCGCGGCAGCTTTTAGCTTTGACGGAAATTATAAAATTTCAGCAAAATTTTGTGTTTGAAGCACTTATTATATGCGCTGCAAATTGGTTAACTGGTAAATTTAATCACTCTCGAAAGTCGTTTATAATGCTAAGACGTTCTTGACGTAAAATCTAAGCACTTATTTGCACGCCACAATGGATTACAGGGTACCTGTTGAGCTTCGTGCTCTGCGCGCTCGACCGTTGTACTTCCAGATGGGGTCCCACTCGCGTTCACCGAAATCCCCCTTTCCTGATATGGGGTCCCGCTGAGCTGAAAGGTGGCACGTATGACAGCGCTGTTTGGAACTTAATTTCGTGGAAAAAATAGACGTGTCTCCTACATTATTACATTATAGTTTAAAAACGTGTGTTGTAAAACACAAAACACCTCCTAACCTGTCCATTACATATCGTAAGCTACATAGTAGACGATCCTGGAAGATTAATTCACGACTTGATATACAATCTGATTTACCGATTTCTACGTCCATTTTTAATGGCTTCACATTTAGCCGTTTCGAGAGGACAGTCACCTGTCAGTGGCTGTGCCGTTGCAAAAACAACAAGTCGTTTGCCCAGCCCATGACCTTTGCCTGGAAATTGCGGTCTTCAGTACTAGCTGTAGCAGGACTAGCTAGTCAGATTAACTAACTTAGGTAGCATTCGATTTACAAACTGCATGCTTCCGATGTTCGAGTTAAGTATACCCATTCGTCAGTAAAATGTTATGCAATCTCTGAGCATCGAGTATGTGCGAATGTTAAAAGTACGCTGGTGCTGTCAGATTGCAAGGGAGGGCTTCATGCTAACTACAAATCCTTACGCCCACGAGTAGAACTTTTCCTCGGTCGCGAGGTGCAGCGAAGGGAGTCGACCTCCTCGCCTAAATTGCCTGTCAGTGCAATCGGGTTGCGAGCTGGAAAGCATTGAAAGATTTGCGCCATTAAGGTTCAAGCAATGCCGAGTACGATGTGGTGAGGCTCGACCTTCCCACACTGACAAAATCGGAAATTCGACGGCATGCATAACGTTGTGATTGAACAAATTACTAGAAATTTTATTGCTCCCTAGAGGTAAAAGACAGCAATTATTAACGCAATCACTTTAATATTGTTAAAATTTGGCAACAGATTGTTTTCGGTCACCAAATTTTGGCAAATCAACTTACTCAAATTGCTATCACCTTTGGTAGGATTTTTGCCAGTTTTTGGTAGAAGAGCTGCTGTATCTGCATCCCAACTGAGTAAGGTCTTGTTGAAATCTGAAACACGTTTAAAGAAAGTTTGAATGCCCTTGATATGATTTGAAAATCGGCAAGAGACAAGTCAATCAAAAGCTACTAGATGTGGAATCTTTTCTTTTCCTAAATAAAGCGCGAATAAACTCGTTAGAATTGGCAAAAATGCACAATAATACAAGCATTTCACTGTCTCAAAGCTAAATTTTTTATAAGTGTAAGAACAAAATTTGCTCTTCCGTTTGTCTCCCAAATAAATCCCATGCTATTGTTGTAGTCTTTTTCACATTCGAGGCCAGCAAGAATGTCGGCTCTGAGGGCCCTGACAGAAAGCAGTGTAGGTGCGCATTACACATCATTGGAATGATTTGCGTTACTTTTCTTATTTTGATGCGCCGTCTTCGGTTTTCCAAAATCACAGTGCTCCTTCGGCAGGTCCCCAAGTCCGGCAATAGGATCGCGCTTCACAACTTTATGACAAAAAAGTAAACGTTTTAAGTGGATAGAAGGGAAGGCAATTTCATTTGTAAAATAACACTTATGCAATTTCTTCTGTCCACATATGTGTTCAACTTTTAGATATGCAAATCTAGCATGAAGTGTTCCATCTGCCTTTTAATTGCGCCGGCCTCAAAGAAAGTGATAAACCAAAGATTTTTAGCTTAAATCTTTTGTTGTTTTACGGCAACTTATCTTCCATCTATGCACGGGAATGTATGGATGCATACCGCGGTTTTTTAGACCCGTTTCGAGATCAACATGTGGAAGCGATTTTCGTAGTTCCTCAACGTTGCCGCTGATGTCTGATAAGCCTATTGATAAGAAAGCAAAAAGGTGAGTGTTTTTCTCAAACACCACCGATTTTCAGCATACGTTGGGTGTAAAGATGTATTATAAATAAATTTAGCTTCTCCCCCTTTAGTTTCGTCTGATATCATTAAATTCGAGAAACCCGCATTTGTCACAAAGGCCGCATGTCAAGTTTCGGACACCGGTCCGGGAAAGTAGCTGGTGTGAAACGCTGATTTAACTGTATTCGTGCCAATGTATACTTTTACAATGATATCTTAAGTTAAAAATGACAACGATTTAAAACAAGAAAATCTGTACTTCAGGAGAAAAACTCACCTCGTTGTCCAGCGGTGGTCGTCATTTCAAACTTGCTTTAAAAGTTGAAAAAGCATGACCAGAGCATAAGAATTTTTGCAATAAAACACTCATTTCAATTTTAATGCAAATGTAGACGTGTGACTGAGCGCACTGGTGACCTACAAATGCATCTTACAACAAACGAAATAACTAGATAAAATGCCCGACTTTCCGGGTACTTTTCCTTCATACTAGATAAAGGACACAAATTAGAGACGAATTGTTCATAAAACATGAAAATATGGCACAGATTCCAAAAACACTCTAAGATGTCTTAAATAACGTAAAAACCGACCGAGTAAATCTAAACTAAAGTTACCCAGACCGTTATTGCAACATAATTTGGCGATAGGTGAGGCAGTCATTGAGCGAAGTGTAAAGCAGGGCTTACTAATGTCTCGACCCGGAGAAACGTCAGATCGAAGTCGGCACGACGACGCAGTGCCTGGCATGCAGACGCGGCGGATATCTTTGCGAATGCGCGCCAGCCAATCAGCGGACCACCACCGACTGGCTCACCGCGCCCAATGGTTCGGCGGCTCGAGTGTTAGTCAGTCCCCAATAAACATGGGGTGGGGGGTTCGCCAATTCTTCCGTCCCTTTCCTTGGCCATAGCGGATCCATTGGGGGACTGGGAAAACTTGCCACACTTGGATAGCCATCTCTGTATGGCCTAAACACACGCTGCATCAATTTCATCAAGGCTTGGTTCCTCATTCATGGTGTACTTCGGACTCATTACCACTTTTGTAATATAAGCGAATGGTAGGGTTACAGCAAATTGAAGGCATCGAAGAAATTTTTATCCACTAACAGTGGATTTGCTCAGGAAAGGAAGTTGGAATAATTCTATACCCATTAAAACCACCCTACTTAGTAAAGAGGACTGCCCAATTCCCAATGTGATTCGATTCGATAGCACGCATCAAGATAAGCCATCTCTCGTGCCACAACAGGGCAAATTCTCAGCGAACAGGAGGTGCAACAAGTGTTAGCCACCAACGCATTTAATGTGGTACAGCGAGTAAAGTCTGATTATTCGTCCATGGGCTGAGAGGTGAACTGATTGCTTCAACTAATATGCAAGAGGTTCCAGTAATGACCTCATTGGGTCAACTGACATAGTATAGTAGTAGTCAGTGCAGTTACCCGAGTACGCGGATCGTCCACTAGACACCATCAACTCAGTAAAAAAGTGTTTGATAGATCTAAATTCCACCTGTCACTGAAGTTGCATCACCAATCGAGGACAAGAGCACGCCAAGGGGCACTTTTGACTGAGTAAATTTTACAGAAAAAGGCCAGTTGAAATGAAGGCAAATGTGTTAAGAAAACGGCGCTCCCAACTGGTAATTAAAAGTCATGTTGAAAGGTCAAGATATATGTTAATTATGCCCGGTTCTGGAACTTGAATTAACGAAATAATTCTTTGACTTGCGTTCTCTTTATGTCAAGAAAAAGCGCTACAGTTATACCCCACATGATCATTACATCAGTTTTATCATACTCTGTAAAAGAAATATGGATATTCTGCTAAACTCTCTAAAGTGACCATCAAGAAGAGACCGAAAAAAATAACTTTCCATAGCTGGCACTTTTTAAATGCTATCAAATCTGATTAACTTTTGATCGAAACCTTGAACCTTTAACAAGTTTAAGGATGGAAGGATTTTGAAAACAACTTTTTGTATACATGATAAAGCAATGCTCTCTGCCATCAAGTGAGTGTTCTTCGGCAATCCCAAGTGGCTAACAGCACCATTAGGATTTTCCTCTGAGACTGGCCGTCAAAATGTGCTAAATACGATTTCGTACTCAAGATTTGTGCGTTGCAATTTATTTGGTGCTAGTGGAGATAGAAACGCCGAGATGCAAGGATGAATTTCAACATCTTCATGGATGGGTCTACGGAGCTGATTTTAGTCCCTACATTTACTGTTCAATTATCCCTGCCATGTTTTCCCTTCAACACATGAATCATAGCCTTGTATCCTTAATGACGTCTGTGATTGCAGAAAATCCCATTCTGGGATGATCGGCTCTCACTCCAAAAATGTGAAGCAGGAGGAAGATGTGGACAGATGACTCTACGGCATTAAAATGTTATCCTTAGTTGCATTGGTTCAGGCTTGATAGAGTTACTGGTCCACAACAGGCTGGCGCTGAGTTTTGAGCTTTTGGATAGTAATCGCCGTTTCATGCATAAATTAAGTCAGTAGTTTAGATACAGACTTTAACCACTTCCGTAGCAGTATATTAATTTGCTTTGAATCTACATAAACTTGCACGCGCCTCGTAGTGTTAATGCCACCGGAGTTTTGTCACTTTTTTATCGAATGCTTACTTTTAAGTGATTTACCATCATTCAACTGTCATAGGAATTATCGGGATAGGGGGCTACCGGCTTGGCCCAGTGGCCAGGCCTCCAAAGGGGAAGTAAAATGGCAAAGCCTTAAGGGACCCGTTAACGAAACCGACAGTCAAACAAATAGCAAGAATATCAAAGTAAAAGGACAAATTACTGGAGATATTTTAAATATGGTTTTAGAAGAGGTATGCACCTTTCTCATAGTTATCAAATCCAAGTAAAACAAGGAAAATAAAAAAAATCTTAGGAATCTGTTTTAACAGGAATGACAATTTTGAGTAGTACGCATTTTTTTAAAATTTATCAAGGACTGATAAGTTAAAATTTATGGCAGTGATTCGGCACATCTAGTAATTTGACCAATCATTTGACGCAAATATTTATTCCTCGAGGTCCCATTTTTCACAATTATATTTATAAACTGATTTGATTAATTGCCGATTTATTTAACGTATATTTGCTGCTGCCACTATTGTACCGTTTT